AGGATATCATACCTGTAGTGGAAATTGAATGTTCAAAAGATTTCTATTTTTTGTTTTTTTTTTCAAATAAATGATTAATCATATATAAGGAAAAGAAACATTGATCACTTGCAATCAAGTAACTCTATTTGAAATTAGAAAGTTTTAAAAAAAAAAAGTTACTGCTTGATGTGTTATGAACTTATGTGGTTCTATTCTTCTTCTTGAGATGAAAATTTTCAAATTAGTGGCTTCTAATAATGTTGTTACCTCTACACCAAATAAACTGTGGAGTGGATGATTATTTATTATTATTGGGGATATGAATGAATGAATGAATGGGACATGACAAACAATGAGAGGATGGATAGTTGAATTGAAAGGGGATTTTGACTCATGTATGTACCTAATTGCAAATAGGTAAAAGTGGCTTTAGCCAGACCTCTGTTCACCTCATTCAAACATCCATCCCCTTTTCACTCTTCTATCTATCTATGCTTCTTGAGCTACAAGCTCACGGTTAAATTATATGAGTATCAGCACTATATATCACACAACATAAAGTTCATAGTATAAACTTTCTTTCTCAACGATATAATCAGATAATCTAAGTATTCATCACGAGCAGAAAAATGTTGAACCCTTCAGTTAAGTGTTCTACATCACATTTTCTTTAGCAGTGTAAGTGTCCCAGCTGAAAAATTACAAGACAGATAACAGCATTATTACCTGGTAATCCAAATGATGCATGACAAATCTTCCTGCACAATCCACTTCTAATAAAGTTGCTGCGAATTCACGTAGTATCATTGGAATTTTCAGTATTATCATCTCAGAACAACTTTCAACTTCGTCTCCACTTGTTCTCGCACTTTCCACTGCCGTTATGTTTTTCAACAAATATTTTAAGATAGTAAGAGGAAAAAAAGAAAAAAAAAAAAAAAACAAGAAGGGCGTATATCACTTTCTTGTATATGACATGATATTTTACCTGTAAGTCGTTAATCTCCTCATCGGTGAGTGACCGTTCCATTGACCTATATGCAATTCTGTAACAGTGACTCGTCATTCCTTTCTTGTTGGTGAAGTCGTCGATCAATTTTACCTACAAAAACAGATAAAAGCTCGAATTTATTTTGAGAAAACCAATTTTGAAAAAGTATCAAATGTAACTTTACCTCCTCAACAAGATCCCCAGCTATTCCTCTAACAACTTCACATAGGTTGTTTTCTGTAAATGAGTCGCTTATCCAGAAACTCATGTCCTTATAACATGGAGGATACTGCAAATGTTCGATCAATATTAAAAAGAGAGTTTCAGTTTTGTATTCTAAATCTCAATAGAGTTCACTAAAATTAAACATTGAGAAGAGTATTTTCTTGAAATATCTCAGTACCTTCGAAAATGGTTTAAACTTAACCCCAAGCTGTCCTTTGGAGAACTAAATAAAAGATACAAGAAAATACTGTCAGGCCTAAATATTATCGAATATATCAAGAAATGAGAACATTCCATGATCCTGAAGAGTATCATCTTACTTGTGAAGTAAACCGCTCGTCTGTTGTCCAGAAAAGACGGATATCTGGAATGTCAAATAAAACCATTGCTAGCCGTTCGAGTCCAAGTCCAAAAGCCCATGCGACATTATCTGTTTTACCACTTCTCTTCAAAATTTCTTGCTCCATGACCCCACAGCCCAACACTTCCAACCATTTCTCCTGAAATAATACCCATTTTGTTTTATTTATCTAACTGAAGCTAATGGAAAAAGGAAAAAACCTGAAATTTGGGTTTCGACATTTGTCAAAGTAAGATACCTGAAAAAATATTTCCAACTCAAACGAAGGATCGGTAAATGGAAAATAAGTGTCAATCCAACGCATTTCCACACCACCTGAAAAATTTCGAGAAATCATAACATAACCAAAATACCTGATGTCCAATTATTAGTATTAACCTAGCAGTGTTAATAATTAATGTTCCAACACGATAAAGATACAGATTCCAGTAATTTGCGTGCTATCTTTCCCTGCTTTAGCAAATTTGAAGCATATTCAGTTTTTACATCAATGTACCGAATAAGTGGCGGGCCAAGCCCTCAAGGGATTTCTTTAAATCCTCAGCAGCATATGACATAGCATCTTTACCAGATCCTTCCCAGTCAGCCGGAGAAAAAACACGTACTCCTTCCATCTAAAAACATTTCACCGAAGAATAACTGTGGTGTCAACGGATCAAAATAAAAAATGATGCAGAGAGTAAAAAGAAAAAGAACCTGATGGAACACAGGGTAGTGAGTGGAGTCTATAGAATCTCTTCTGTAAACATCTCCAGTAACAAGGAAATGAGAGTGTCCTTCTCTAAGTAACTCAGCTTGATGTGCACTAGTGTGGCACCTCAAGACAGTTTGAGAATCGACATAATAAGTGTCATTGTAACTCCTGCTTACATGGTCGGCAGGCACCAACACATCATCAAAGTTCTGAAGGAAACATGTAAAATGATACACTCTCTGTCATTCATCTGATATAAGACCAGTTCTATAAAATTAAAAATTGTTCTAAAAATTACCAAATAACAGAAAACTACAGGAAAACTAAATTAACCACATATACAAAAACAAACCAAAAGAGCCGAAACACGAGGAAGGAAAAACTAAGAAAAACACTTAAAAACCAAGCAAAACTCTAAAAGAATAAAAGAAATCTAAAAATTTGGAAAACCTTAGAGAAATGGAATTAAAAACAAGATATCAGAACTCTGAAAAACAAGGTGAAAAAAAAAAAATAAGAAAAGGACGAGCTGATTTTTGCTCCATTCAATGGAATTCTTTGCATAGTTTTTCTATGTATAAAATACACTAAAGGTTCACAAAAACGAATGATTGGAAGAAAATAGGGGTTTCAATTTCATAATAAAAGACATGATATAAATGCATGGACTTAGAAATAAAAACATAACCCCACATACATAGTAACAACTCACGGCCAACTCGAGAAGTACAAGGGAAAAGTATCAAATGTGACTAAATCTTTGTTAGAAGCCTTACAGATGGCATATCAAAGTATTGGAGATATCAATATGACTGTAAGAGAAATGAACTTCCTCTTAAAATGGAGGCAAAGATGGATTACAAAACAACAACAATAACAAAAATGATTATACTAGTAGAGCAATTTTGGAACATAGAAGAAGTACAAGGCACAGTATCAAAAGAGGGAAGTGCAAAATTCAAATACTTCCAAAGATTCAAGGACCTACAGCTTTAACAGAAACTATTGGGCATAAGTCGTCGAACTTGTCAAATTTGGTGGGGTAGTTGGTGTCGAAATAGTCATAAATTGCATTCTTGAGTATGCCAAGAGGATGACGATCCCTCCTGTGAAGCTGCATACCGAGCTTCGAGAAAATTGAATCAGGAACATTGTTTGTTGGGTCATCCCTAACTATCTCTGCACAGATACATATTCATGCAATCATCACCACTCATCGGTACCCAATTAGAGAACAAGCAAATGTGTGAACGTTATACCCTGTAAATCAAAAATCGTATAGCAACAGCCAACTGACATTCACATTACATATAAAATCTGAACTAAAGAATGAAGATTCCTAGTCATGGAACATGATTTAAAATGACAAACACTGAAACACAGCTGACTTTCTACAAGGAAAATCTACCCTTTGTGGACCACAAGACACAAAAAATTAGCTTTTTTTTCCAAAGGATAAACTACCGACGGGTCAAGGAGCATAACATAAAAATCGATCAATACCCACATTCATTTCGAGGCCAGGGTTAATCACCGAAATCGAGCAGGTATAAAAAAAGAACCTAAAAATGGAAGAAAGAAAAAGATGATATGAATTTGAAAAAGCTTAACTTACCTTCTCTGGCTATCTTTACTCCTCCAAGCTCGACAAGCGAGGCGGCCGCCGGCCGGAGCCACTTCTTATGGGAGTGTGCGTTATTAGCAGGAAGGGCGGCGGCGGAGGAAGTCGAGATAGATGAAAAGTGTAGGCGGAGAGCAAAGCTTCTTTTGCGCAGGAAAATGGAAGAAGATCTTGAGATTAAGGTGAAGTTTGCTGTTGACAGTGCCATGGAAGGTAGCTCAGCTCGACTCCTGGCTGTGGCGAAGGGGATTCAGTTCGGCTTTTGCTTGGGTTTGGATAAGCGATATATGAGTTATGGGCCTTGAGGACCCGGTCCATTATTTACGCTGACTATTAAAATGGCCCAAATAAAAACACCCAACCCAGCTAAGGTCTTAACGGCCCAACTATTCTAAACCTTGTTGCCATCTGCACCCCAAACTTTGCTAATCTCAACTTTCGTATACATCTTTTTAGTAACCATTTTGTCTGTATATTCATCTTTGTAGAACAATTAGACAATAGTATGAAATATTGTAATTAGCTAAATCATTTTGTCTGCATAAGTATAAATTATAATCTTTTTAATCAGTCCAGTTATGGCCGAGATGTTACCGGACTTGTGTCACATACATCTATAAACGAATTGTTCATAAGCTCAATTACATCTAGAAACGAGTTGTTCATAAACATCTAAAAAACGGAGTACAAGGTCGTTCAATTATGTTAATTTATTATAGGAGCTGCTAAAGTTAGATCCTTTTAAGTGTTTTATAAAATGGCCCTTTTTTTTTATAAAATCACAACACGAACTTTTTGGGATTTTTCTTAGCTCATTTCATTCAACTGAAAATCAAAGGAAACAGTACATAAATGTTTGAGCTTATAAAGCTCTCACAATCATGCAAGACGACAACCTAAACGGCGTCGTGTACACTACGCAAAACGACGTCGTTCATTACTAAAACTAAAACAATAAATCGAAATGAAAAACGGCGTCATGTACAGCAGAAACGATGCCGTTCGAATTAAAATGAAAAAGAAAAAAAAAAACAGAAATCGGGTCACGATTTATGACGAGAGAAGAAAAACATGCAACTTGAACTTCATGCAGGAAGAAGAAAACCAGTGAGCTGCTCCATGATCTTCATGATCTGCAACATGTTTGTTTGATTAGATAAGTGAACGTGAAGGAGCTCAACCATTCGATCACAAGCTTTCTACTGAATGCTAGGATCATTTAGGGAGCAGATCGGATTTGACTTTATTTTTACGATCTTTCTCTTGATATGCATACATATTCAATAAATCAAAAGGTTCAGAAAGACAGTCGAACTATTGTAAATGGATGTTCATAGATCTGCTGAAAATAGTACCTGTTGAATTTGCATGCACTGAGAGTTAAAAATACAAACAAATTTGCAATGTGAGGTAATGATTCTACTATAAAGCACAATGCCAGAAAAAAAATGAATAAGAAAAACAGAAAAAATAAATTAGTTTTCAACTTAGAGAAATTCAAATTAAATTCTGAAATAAAATGAACCGATATCCACACCCTACAATTTTTTGTACATCTATTCTGGAATTGGGAGCAAGACCTCACTTTTTGTAGAGTGTTTCCATGGTATCATTGAAGCGCTTAACATCTGCTCCAATGAACTCTGACGCCTTTTTACCGTCTTGAAAGAAGTGCAATGTGGGCTGCATCCAAGAACCGCGCATTTATTATCACTAACACGTAATTTTCGTGCACACAACCAAGTAATTAAACAAAAACATCACGATTAGAGAGTACAATAGGAACAAATAAATTGATAAGTAAAAGATGAAGGATAATTTGATTTTACCACGGAGTGGATATTTAGCTTGTCCAATGCATTTCCTAGCTCCTCCTGCACATTTCAAAATCAATAACATCCAGGTCAAAAGCAAATGATGAAAAGCACGAAAAAAAAAAAAAAAAAAATTACATTATATCCTACCTTATCGATATCTATTTTATATGTGGTGACATGGGGGTATGTCTCGCTAAGCTGCCCAATTATGGGGGATAACAATCTACCTGCAACGATGATTTATCAAGTGCAAGATTAAGAATTGTTTACAATTAAGATAGATGGATCATATCAGTGCCCGAAAAATTGTATAAGAGGGAAAAGAAAAAGAACTTACATGGAGGACACCAAACTGCAGTGAAGTAGAATATTGCATGTAAAGATTCATCTACACCAGATTCAAGTAACAAATGTGTGAGAGATCAAGACTTACAGCCTACTAGCATAGACGAAAAAAACTATCAACTGGTAAAGAAAAATAACTATAACGGAATCAAATATCTTCTACAAGAATACCTTGGACCTTTCGAAGTGAATCGTTAAATTGCTCCTCAGTCTCAATTAACACCACCTTGGATGTATCTATAGATCCAAAGCAACAGATCATGGGTATCAAACTAATGCACTTGTTAGAGAATTTAAAATCACAAGGCTCGGCATCCAGGAATATGACCACAGAACGTTAGGAAGAATCAAAATCAACCATTGATTCCATTTTCTTTCGACAAGAAGTCTACTATCTTTAGCACAGAACAGTACCATAAAACCGTTTCCCTCACAACCCGCAACTTGGCACAAGGAAATTGAACTGGATAACTCAAAACAACACATTCAAAATCACTCATGTCTAAACTTTAGTCTACTTTTTGCTAATAGCCTCAAAATGATAATAAGATTAAGTTAAAATCTATTATAGGCAGAGTCCTAATCACACATTTCACAACAGAATTTGCGTCAGCTACAATATACCTTCAAGTTTCAACACTGAAAATTCATAATTCCCCTTAATCGAAAACCAAAAGAATACACACACTTGTTAGGGGAAAAACACATCGCTAATCACTTGTCAGTTTCTTTTCTTTTTTTTTTTTTTTTTAATAGAGTACAGACCTGAGGAGGGTGATGATGAGAAGCTCCGAGAGTGATTCAGCAAAACGCCCTGAAAGCCAGAAGGGGCCGTCGGTGAGAGGAAAAGAGGGCGGACGACGTCTCCGGAGAGGATTGGGGAGGAGCACGAAGTGATCTCTGCCGACGACGGAATAAGGTTCTCACCGATTGAAAGCGATCGGCCGGCCGAACATGGGACCCTTCCACCGCCCGCTAAACGACGTAGCATTAAACCCACCCCTCTCATTTTTCTCCACCTCAAAGGGTTTATCCGACAAAATCAAAATGAGGGCTTTTGGAGTTGAATCATATAAATTGGCCAAAATAAATAAAAAATAAATAAATCATCATGGGCTTTCAACTTGCTTAGGCTCATTTATTTGAGAAAGCCCAAACATGAGATGATTCGACAGTTGACGGGCTTAGCTGCTTAGGAGGGTCAATTGCACTAACAAGCCCAATAATATGGAGTTATTAACACTTTCAAAAATTGTTAAACGAAACGAGTAGCTCGAGAGACCGAGTTGAAGTTTTCAAATAAACTAGTTGAATTTTTTATTTCAGCTAGTTTATCAGCTAATTTTATCAAACACTTTTATAATATAAGCTAGCTTTTCAGCTATAAGTCATAAGCTATAAAATATAAACTCGAAAGTTACATATAACTATAAGCTAGCTTATTAGCTAGTTTTACCAAACATAGTCTTAGTTATGAGCCATGTTAGGCATATTTAATGGGGGGTATTTACGTAATTTTCAAAATTTTTAACATAATTCTGCTCATTTATAAATTAAGTTCGAACTCGTGTATCGAGTCTAACTTGTTTACAGTTGATGTTGGGCAATTTGAAACCGCAACTAGTTGAAATTGAATGGAATTATAACCATCCTCTTTGTATAATAATCAATGAGAGATTTTGTGACACTCAAAACACAACATTGAATGACAATAAGATCTTGAATATTTTAGTTTGTATCAAACTTATTTATGTAATTTAAAACACAAAAAAAAAAGTAGATGAATAACGGAAGAAGTACAAAATGGAAGGGAAAACGGTGAAATAAGTTGGCGTGAATAAAGTTAGGTTGTGTGACATTATTTAACCAAATAATTTTGGTTTGCTTCATATTATTTCAATATTTAACAAACTTAAATTGGGTTATTATTTGACGTCTCAACAAAAGCGGTTGTTTGTTCACCTGCTTTAACCCAACAAGCAACAAATACACGTCCTTGTCATTTAGAGCATCTCCAATGGTTGAGCATCTATTTTGAGATGAAAGGTGTGGAGAAAGAGAATAAAAATATTTTGTCTTCAATGGTTAACGTCAGTTGTGGAATAATTTGACACGTGTAAAATAATAATTGGTTGATGGAGAGAGAAATGTAAAATAAATAATATAATATAGGGTAGAAGATGTCTAGAAGTCTTTCTGCATTTAGAAAGACTTCTACAATTTTGAAACGCCACATAAAATTTTTCAGGCTATGTGGCAATAAGTTAGAGCAATCCATGTACCATTGGAGATGCTCTTATCTGCTTCAGATATGGACCTTCTTTTTTTAAATAAGAAAAATAAAAATAAAAAATCGTGTTAATTTTATATTGTGGTTAATTTCTATTCATTTTCAACTTTAATTGAAATAATGGATGTCAATTCCACTCTTTAAGCAGCTTTTTATGTTTCAAAATTATAATTTGTCCATTAATTTTTCAATCAACTGTATATATTGCTTTGCAGGACAGCTTTTAAAGAGTGGGAACGCAGTCACGTTTCCAATCCGAGAAAAGAAGACGAAGACATCTGCTCAACAAATAAAAAAAAAAAAAAAAAAAGGAAAAGAAAAAGATGAATTATGATTTATGATATGTATGTATAATTATTGTATTCTACTACACCAACTTAACCATTACGATGACATACTTTTTGCATAAAATGCGAACCTTTATTAAAAAATGACATACAATAAAAAAAACAACATAAACAAAAACACGACATTTGATTTATGGTTTTGGTCTTGTGTTAGTTTGAGCAAACAAATAGGCCGACATACTTATTTTTAATTTAAAAATGTGATTACTTTAACTAGAATTTAAGGAGGAGTAGGAAATAACTAAGGAGGAGTAAGTCGGGGTTGAGGACAAAGTAATGCCAATTTCTCGTAACATATTCCAGATTCGTTACAGAGTATATTCATTGATGGCCATCCATCCGATTGTTCGCTATGGAAGGAGAATCGTGTGGCAATTTATGCCGATGCTAAAACATAATAATAGTAATTAAATAAATGTGCATTCTTTGCTTAAATAGATTGGAACTGTTCCATGAAAATTATCTGTACTAGCATGAAAAAATCTTCATAGAACGTAAATACAAGATAATTGGACTGCAATTCAAGAAACTTTAGACACACAAATAACTTTATAATTCCCTTATTGAATGACATGATATATCGTTCCGAGAATAAAAAGAAAAAGGAAAAAAATAGAATAAAAAGAAAAAGGAAAAAAATAGACACACAAATAACTTTTTGGTACATGGACTTTCTGGTTTTCGGATTCACATGGGAATCGACTAATTCGGAATCGAGTCGGGTCCACAAGGGAGACAAAGCTCTCCCTCAAGAGTTTTTAACACTGCTAAATTCCCAAGACTCGAACACGAGACTACTGGTTAAGCTGAAAGAGATCCAAGCCATCTCATTCAAGCGCTCTTGGTTTATGATTCCCTTATTAGGACCAAGACTTGGCTTTCCTCTCTTTTGACAAATCAAAAGTTCTAAAAACAAAGTTCAAAGTTTGATAAGATTTAGAAAGACAAATGAGATTTTGTGACCGGCTTAATTTCACATAGTTGCGTATAATGGTCAAGACTCGATCAATTTTTTTTTATCTTAATTGCACACGCAAAGATCTGCCTACACGGTTTAATTTGCAACTAATAACAATGTTAGAAAGTAGCTCCATCAACTAATTGAACTTAAAAATTATACAATGTCCCCGCAAATCAAACTCCACTATGCATAATTAAGTTAAATTTACAAATAATTGTAATATGGTCAAAAATTTATTATTATTATTTTCATTATAAGAAAAGCTGTTCCACCTACCCTAACAACTAAAAGCGATGAATGAAACGAACAGCTCGTGAATCATGTGCTTGAGTTTAAACGGGCCAAAGATTTTCTACAACTCAACTTGTTAAGATTTGCATGAGATTTCCTACAACTCTGACTTGTTAAGATTCGAGTTTGATGTAGCGAAAGCGTACATAATTTTTTTTTTTTTTGTTTGTTCAAATTAACTGCTTAAAAGATTATGAATCCTTAAATATGACTCCTCAAAACTCTAGATTACTAGATTAGGAATCCTTAAATATGACTCTTCAAAACCCTAGATTATTAGATTGTCCAACAAGACAAGGATTATAACAATACTAGTACGGCACCCGCGCGTTGCGCGGCATCATGTTAAATATATTGATGAATTATAATTTAAACAAATGACAATTTATTTAAAATAATGTCACTTATTAAGCATTTGAATAATTATACATATAACATTAGTTGAAGGCAAATTGAGTTTATTATGATCACTATTGTCAATGAAAATATTAATCTTTCGTTTATAACTCTAGAAACAACAATATGCTACTATTATGACTAAGTGCATATTTTTTTCAACAACAATATCACATATAACAACAATAGTTGACTTTTGATCAACTCACATTGCCTAAGACAACATAATAAAAAATATCATCGTTGGAATTTAAATAGTAGTCTTGAATTGGAAAACGTCAAGGATAATTGTAGAACAAAAAAAAAATTATGTTGCGAGAATTTTATCTTTTATACTTTAAAATTGTGTTTTTAGTTTTTTTTGTGGAATTAAGAGAAAAATTCTTCAATATCATTATTAGTCATTAAGTCAATAATATATCTAGCTATTTGGACTGAAAATTATTTATAAACGGAAGCTAATTAAACTTCTTGAAATATGCATTGAGATTTTTGCTGTAAAAATATTGAATTATTTAAATAAAATTTCATTGATAAAGGAAAGACAATTATAGCAGACAATTTTTACTCCAAACATACATGTAAATTGATGAATAGCTTGATAGTTTTTTTTTTTTTTATAATTTATTACTTTTGAACACAAATTCACATCAATTTTAATTGCACATTAAATGTTTAATTGAATATAATGTTTATAAATTATAAATTTTGAATACATTTATAATTATATATTTATTTATAAAAATTAATTATGTTTATGGTTGAGTTACATAAAAGTTAAAAAAAAGTATAGTAAATGAAGCTTTGGAAATATAAGAGTAATTATTTAATAAGTAAATAAATATATATACATAATTAAGTGTTTTTTTTTTTGTTTTTGTAAAAACAAATTAAGTTGATGGTTGTAATACATAGAAGTTATCAAAATTTATTTCAGTGTAATAAATATAGTTTTGGAGGGAAAAAGAAAATTTTTCCAGCTGCTTAGCTTTAATATATATATAGATAATAAATAAATAAGTTTTCTAATAAAGCTAGAATACCATTAACAATCATTATTATCAATATAATAGTAAAGAGATGTTGATATGCGAATTTGTATCAACATGGGGTATTCGGAAAATTGTTTATATATAACGAATATACTGAATTTCTCGAATTTTGTATGTGATTTTTGTGTAAATTAGTACAAAGATTGAAGAAGAAAGAAGCCCAAACAAAGCTGTGATGTAAGTTATTTTATCCCAGAGAAAATGAGTAGGAGAAGGAAAAAAGTAATAGCCCCCTCAGACTTATCTATCTGACGTCCATCATTGGGGTTTATATATATTTTTGGTGGGCCCGTTATTATTACAAGCGGTATTATTTTTAGGCCATAAAATAAAACAATTAATATAATATATATCCACGTGTAATATTTTAATAGGCGAGGCCAAAATTGGGTATTAACAAGAGAGAAACAAATTATTGAATTAAAGATTCTAATGATACTTATTTCCATTTGAAATTCAAATTGTTATAAACAAGTCGAGTTTGAACTTGATTCGATTTTCTAAGACGAGCTTATATTGCCTCACTAAAAAGTAAAAACTCGAGCAATCGAGCCAAAGTTCGAGTATAAAAAATTTGAGTTCGGTTCAACTTTTTTACACCTCTACTTACAATTTTTTTAAATTTCGGGTTGCAGATTTTACATCTCACCAAATCCATCCATGCAGTACATACAACTCAACAAAGCAGTACAAGTCCTAATAATTTAATAAATTTAGCTGTTTTCAGGATACAAAAATAAAAATCAGGTCTTTGCCTTATATTTTAGTCCCTTTCTTCCCACACGCCCACGGATTCATCTTCATCTTCATCTCAAGTCTCAGCACAATCAATTAAGTGCCATAATCACCTCTATTTAAGGAATTAATTTGCTTTTTAATCATTCTCTTTTCTTCCTTTTCAGCTTCAAAGCACAAATTAATTAATTGCGTATTCAGGCGCAATCTTGTTCCGTAGATTATCTTGTTCCTCTGTCGCGGAGGTGGTTGAAGGAGGTTTTTTGGGACGGCGCTGACCATGAGGGGCCTGCAGTTGACCGCCGCCTCCGGAAAGGGGTCAGGATTACCGGCGGAGGATGCCGGCGAGGAGGATAGGTTGCTGAGCTCGACCGACGAGGAAAGTTCCGGGCATTTGCGGAGGATGCAGGTGCGAGTGACGGGGATGACGTGTGCGGCCTGCTCGAATTCCGTGGAATCGGCTCTCATGAGCTTGGACGGCGTCGTTAGAGTCTCCGTCGCCTTGCTTCAGAACAGGGCTGATGTCAGCTTCGATCACGCCTTAGTAAAGGTCCGGTTTTTAAGCTCCTTTTTTCTGCTTATTTATTCAGTTTCTTATTGGTTTCCCTCTGGATTTGGTTAGTGAATTTAATTGCCCATTGCTTGAATATTACGTGCCTCTTATGTGCTTATCGGTGTGGCTGTGTTGTTGCATCAAATCGATTTACTTGGGTTATATAACTTTGAGAGATCTTTATAGATAAGCTAAAGGGGAAAATGAGCTGGGGATGATTCCGTTTTCATATAATGTGAGAATGATAACATTACTGATTGTGGGAGTTGGCTTTGTGATCTTAACTCTTAAGTTTACTACTAATGCATTTATTTCGTCTTAGTATTTACTCCAACACTTCTGGATGAGCTTTCTTGGCTGTAGTTCATCTGCGTAATCGTCATTTTATATTGGTTATGAATTTAGTGTTTCCCTCGGGTAGTCGGGTTGTGATAATTGGAATAGATAATAAACTCTTTACTGTCTTTGAAGTAATATGCATATGGATGAACTTTCGTTGTTGTAGCTATGACTAATCTTTGACTTGTATACATTACCAATTTGTATTCCTCGGGTTGTGGTAACCGAAGAAGAAAAATATGTTTTTGCTTTCTTTAAAGTATTACATGGTGGGTCTTGATTGGAGTCTGAGCCATCCTACTTTTTGTTTCAGGATGAAGACATTATAAATGCAATAGAAGATGCTGGATTTGAGGCAGAAATTATACCCGAGCCGAGCACATCTCAGTCTAAGCCGCACAGGACCTTAATTGGTCAGTTCACAATTGGTGGAATGACATGTGCTGCGTGTGTAAATTCTGTAGAAGGGATCCTATGGAAGCTACCTGGCGTGGAAAAAGCTGTAGTTGCCTTGGCTACATCATTTGGAGAGGTTGAGTACAATCCAACCATTATCAGTAAGGAGGATATAATTAATGCAATCGAAGATGCTGGTTTTGAAGCTTCATTTGTACAGAGTAATGAGCAGGATAAAATTGTGGTTGGGGTTTCTGGGATTGTAAGTGAAATGGATGTACAGGTGTTAGAAGGAAAACTTGGCAACTTAAAGGGTGTGAAGCAATTTAAATTTGATCGAAGATCTAGAGAGTTGGAAATTCATTTTGATCCAGAGCTCCTCAGTCCGAGAACGATTGTTGATGAGCTTGAAAGTACCAGTTGTGGAAAAATGAAGTTACATGTAAAAAACCCTTATTCTAGAATGTCTTCTAAGGATCTGGAAGAGTCTTCACACATGTTTCGGCTTTTTACAGCGAGCTTGCTTATCTGCGTGAGTAATTACTAGCACTTTGATTGACTTATTTCTAAATATTTCTCATTGATTAGGTACAGCGGCATTTATCTGGTAAAATTTTCATTCTGCAGAATGTCATATATAATGCAAATGATTCCAGCTGAGGCACAGAATAATTAGAAGCTTTCTTGATTGTGTGAATGAAGTTAATTTCTTGAAGTGGTTCCTTTACTAATATAGTTTTTTTATTTTATTTTTTTTTTCAATCCGTACTGGATTGCTGCAGGTTCCTGTCATGTTCATGCAGGTCATCTGTCCTCACATACCCCTGTTATATTCTTTACTACTTAGGCGTTGTGGTCCATTTCAAATGGGTGATTGGCTGAAATGGGCTTTAGTCACAGTTGTGCAATTCGTTATAGGCAAGCGCTTCTATGTTGCAGCTGGCAGAGCACTCAGAAATGGTTCGACAAACATGGATGTCCTTGTTGCATTGGGAACATCAGCATCATACTTTTACTCTGTATGCGCATTACTATACGGTGCCATGACTGGGTTCTGGTCCCCGACTTACTTTGAAGCAAGTGCAATGCTAATTACATTTGTACTTTTTGGAAAGTATTTGGAAAGTCTTGCAAAAGGAAAGACGTCTGATGCTATCAAAAAGCTAGTGGAGCTTGCTCCTGCTACTGCTATACTGCTTATCAAAGACAAAGGTATTTTTTCCAATTACTTGTGGATATATATATAACCAGCTGATGTTCGGAATTAATGATTTGTTGATTCAGGTGGGAAAATCGTAGGAGAGAGAGAAATTGATGCTTTATTGATTCAGCCTGGTGATACATTAAAAGTACTCCCTGGGACAAAGGTTCCTGCCGATGGTTCAGTTGTATGGGGTTCAAGTTATGTAAACGAGAGTATGGTTACTGGTGAATCTGCTCCGGTTCTGAAAGAAGTCAATTCTTCAGTTATCGGAGGTACAATCAACTTGCATGGTGCGCTTCACGTACAAGCCAACAAAGTAGGCTCTAACACAGTTTTAAGCCAAATCATCTCGCTGGTTGAGACGGCCCAGATGTCTAAAGCTCCCATTCAAAAATTTGCGGACTTTGTGAGTGTTGGATTTTCTTGATTGTCATGTTGTGGTCTGTGCTTTTGTCAGCTCCTTGCATGCTAATCTTGATAGATGAACAAGATCGCCCAAAATAATCAACCTCTCTGATCTTTCTGCCAATAAAGAAAAAAAAAAGGAGAGAAAAACAAAGAAAAGAAGTGGAACACCCACTTTTTCCACGCTCACCCAAAAAATAAAAAATAAAAATGAACAGAATGTAAAATCTGAATCCTTCATTGCTTGGCAATTTTCCTCTATCCGCGCATATATGCTATTCAGTATGAGGTCTTAAGGATCATTTGCAGTTCCAAAAATGAATACCTCTTACAAAGCTCATTTTTCTCAGGCGATACAAATGAATAGACATTGTTATGCGATGCTTGTCATTTTAGTCTTTTTCCCATTTAGTTCTATATACTGTCCATAGTCTTTGAATTTTATTCGTGAAACTTTTTGTACTAGAACTCATTTAATGCTGCTATAGATTCCTTAATTGGTTGCTTTCATCACCTGCAGATTGCAAGCGTTTTTGTCCCTGTTGTAGTAAGTTTGTCATTGTTGACCTTGTTTGGATGGTAAGCTTTACTATTGCCAAATCCAGAGCTGATATATTTTCTACAGTTAATGATCATTAACTTCATTATCAATATTCTGTCATTAATTTGCAGGTATCTTGCTGGGGTTTTCGGAGGCTACCCTGTGGAGTGGCTGCCTCAGAATAGCAATTATTTTGTTTTCTCCCTCATGTTTGCAATTTCAGTTGTGGTGATTGCATGTCCATGTGCACTTGGATTGGCCACTCCAACAGCTGTCATGGTTGCAACAGGGGTTGGAGCTAACAATGGCGTGCTTATAAAAGGAGGAGATGCTTTGGAGAAGGCACAAAAGGTCAATTACGTCATATTTGATAAGACTGGAACATTAACCCAGGGGAAGGCCACGGTAGCCGCAGCAAAAGTTTTTTCAGGCATGGATCGTGGTGATTTTCTTACTTTAGTGGCTTCGGCAGAGGTAATAAAAGATCGTGGACGAACTGAACTAAAGTTGTGTTTGATTTTTGCATATTCCTCTTCATGTGCTTATATATTCATTCCTTCATTCTTTTTTTTTTTCCTTTCCTTTCTTTTTTCTATTTTTCCAAATAACTTTGTGGTTACGACTCTGCATGATCACAGTTACATATATTAGGAGAAAAATTATAAACAAAAAGAAACCATTGACTTACGTGAGTGCATGTTTTCTTCTTCTTTTTTTATTTATTTTTATTTTCATTTTTAAAATTGCTGGTGATTTATTAATAAGAAGTAAAGAATGGCACTTAGGAGCCACTTCCGATAATGAACAATCAATCAAATAAATATTATAAATGATTTCTGAACTATTTAATTTTTTCTTTTGGCACAGGCTAGTAGTGAGCACCCTCTGGCCAAAGCAATACTCGAATATGCTCGTCATTTCCATTTCTTTGGTGAACCTGCTGCTACTAACTCCTTCGGATGGCTTCTTGACGTCTCAGACTTTTGTGCTTTGCCTGGACAAGGCGTGCAGTGCTTTATAGGCGGCAAAAAGATCTTGGTAAGTACTTTTAATCAGTTTTAAATGTCTCAATACTCGATACCCGGGAGAAAAAAAGTTTTACCAGTCACTCTTTTTTTTGTGCTCATTTAAAATATCATGCCTTGTTTAACAGGTTGGTAACAGGAAGCTGATGATGGAAAATCGTGTTGCTATATCGGACCATGTTGAGGATTTTGTTGTAGAGTTGGAAGAAAGTGCCAAGACTGGAATACTTGTGGCCTACGATAATGACATTATTGGTGTTATAGGTGTTGCAGATCCATTAAAGAGAGAGGCTCCTGTTGTTATCGAGGGCCTCAAGAAAATGGGTGTGAAACCAGTTATGGTTACTGGCGATAATTGGCGAACAGCCAGAGCTGTTGCAAAGGAGGTATTTTTTTTATTATTTTTTATCCAAGAAAAAATTAATTTTCACCCCATTAGTAATCCTTGAATGATTTTTTATCCAAGAAAAATTGCAGATATGCTTTCCGAAATTTATGAGTGTGTTTTGTAAGCACTATTATTGGTTAGCTTTTAAGTTCTATCCAAATAATCTTGGTTTATTAGGACGATTTTTTTTAAAAAGCTCGAGCTTATCTAGGTAGTTTTTAAATAAGCCTTGGAAATTTTTATTTTAAGCTTATTTTACCAAACACTTTTATTATATAACCTAGATTTTCAGCCATAAGTCATAAGCTATCGGTTATAAACTCGAAATTCATGTATAGGCTATGTTTGGTACCCAAATAATCTGCTTATAATTTATTTGGTTAGTTTATAAGCTTCTTGTGGATTCGAGTAAATTCGATTGGTAGGACGACTTTTTTAAAATAACTCGAGCTTATCTCATAAGTTCCCTTAGGTAATTTTTCAGATAAGTCCGTTGAATTTTTTTTTTCTGGCTAGTTTATCAGCTAATTTTATCAAACACTTTTATCATATAAGCTAGTAAATCATAAGCTATCAACTATAAAATTGAAAATCACTTAGCTAGCTTATCATATCAGTTAGGTTTATCAAATATAACTTTATATCTATTCTACAAACTGCAAGAGTTTTTCAGTCATACGTCATAACCTATCAGCTATAAGTTCAAAGTTCACTTATAAATTATCTTTTCTATATATCTAATAGTGAATCGTCAACCATCCTCTCGAATGGAGAAGTGCAAATGGCTCGGTAGGCTAGCCAGAAGCTATAAACTCGAAATTCACTTATAAGTTATCAACTATCAACTAGCTTTATCATATCAGTTAGGTTTATCTTACATAACCTATATCTATTTCTACGCAGGTCGGCATCACGGACGTTCGGGCAGAGGTGATGCCCTCGGGAAAAGCCGATGTAATCCGCTCGTTCCAAAAAAACGGGAGCGTGGTTGCAATGGTGGGGGACGGAATCAACGACTCCCCTGCGCTGGCGGCAGCCAATGTCGGAATGGCCATCGGGGCCGGGACTGACATTGCAATCGAGGCTGCCGATTACGTGCTCATGAGGAGCAGCTTGGAGGATGTGATAACTGCAATCGATCTCTCGAGAAAGACATTTTCACGTATCAGGTTGAATTACGTGTTTGCGAGCGCTTATAACGTGGTGGCTATACCGGTGGCTGCCGGAGTTTTTTTCCCGTGGCTGAGAATAAAACTGCCGCCGTGGGTGGCCGGAGCTTGCATGGCGCTATCGTCTGTGACGGTCGTCTGCTCGTCGTTGATGCTTAGGAGATATAGGAAACCC